GTCTTGGAAAACCCAGGGAAACAGCTCTGGAAGGCGGCCATCCGCGTTCATCGTAACCTCAAGGCTACGAAGGCAATTGGGATCGTCTACCAAGGATGCACAAGTGAACTGAAGGTCGAGGCATACACGGACGCGGATTGGGGCAGTAATATCGACGACCGACGTTCGGTGTCGTGGATCATGGTTGTGATCGGACAAGCGCCCGTGGTCTTCATGTCCAAGTACAAGCGCACGATGACGCTGAGCTCAGCGGAGGCGGAGTACATGGCACTAAGTCTGTGCACTCAAGAATCACTCTAGGTGCAGGTGATGCCCAAGGACCTTGGTCATGAGCAAGTGGGAGCGACTCGCATATGGGTAGACAACCAAGGGGCGATCGCGCTGGCGTCGAACGCCGGCTACAACGCAAGGAGCAAGCACTTGGACATTCGCCATCACTTCATCCGGAAGAACGTGGCCAGGGAAGCTATTGACGTCAACTATATTGGCACGGAGAAGTAGTTGTCGGACATGATGACGAAGCCGCTGGGAACCAAGCGACTTCAGATACTTCGCTCGGCGAGCGAGTACGCGCCAAGCCCGCTGCGCATTTACGGCGAGTGGGAGTGTTGAAGTGGCGCCGCGTAATGAGAGCTGAACGAGCCAATGACTCATCCATTGATGACGTGAAGGTGATCAATGGTCTGGAGGGCACGTGGGGTACGCGCATGAGCTCGGTGAAGTTAGGGGAGTTTTGGATGTGATCCAATCACATCCAGCACTATCTACATTATCTCCCAATCAGATCTTGCCATACGTGAATCAGTCATCATTCGTCGAGTCAGTTCCTAGGGAGCCAACGGGTTTGGTGCGGTTCTTGACATTTGGGTGCAAGTCATTAGGCGATAATTCTTGGCCGGTTATTAGCGGATTCCGAACAAAATAAACACTTTCTTGTTTGAAACTCTTCTGCACTTCGTAACAAATTGAGTCTGCTTCAACATTAATTTTCCTTTGACGGAAAAACAGTACATATGTACTTCGTAGCTCCAAGTGTCTTCGACGTGAAGTGAACGGCCAGTTGCATCAGCTCCACTGTCTGACTTGCAACCAACTGGCTGGTCGACGGCACAGAACGGAATAAACATTGGAGACTTGTTCTCGAGTTGTTTTGTCGGACAATCATACAAGGATCTGCTCTGCGCTGCGTGAAACCCATCAACAAGAAAATTCGAGCAAATCTTTTTGAACCAGACAGCTGCAGCTTGTTTCAAGTCATACTAACTTCGCCATAACTTGCTTACCTATCCCTCGTGGTGGAGCCATATACACGTCCTAATCAAAAATTCCGCTCAGAAATGCAGTCTCCACATCAAGCTGTCGGATCACAAGGTGTATACTGCAGCAAACCACCAGGAACATACGTATTGTGTTTAAGCTCGCAACGGGTGAAAATGTCTGGAAAAACCAACACCATAAGTTTGCAGGTATCCGAGGGCCACTTACCGCGCCTTGATGCGAAAGATTTTGCCCTTGCATTGTTTTGCTCCTGGTGACAGGATATTTAAAGCAGCAACGATCGCTAACAGTGCGATCTCGTACTCATCGGTTCGTTGGCGTTTTGCCTCAGGCTGACGTTCCGTTGTTAATTCATCTGTGAGAAGAGTTAAATTGGCAACAACATCTTGGTTTTCACCATCCATGAGCAAACGCTGGCTGGCTCGGGCATCAATTGTGGTCTAGTCGATCTATTCAAATATAATCTAACAGCCGTCTTGGGAGCAGTGTCGGTGCTTAACGATTGCTGCGATCCGATTCAACACGAGGCGGATTCGAAACGTAATCTCTGTGGCGAGCATTTTGTTGTGTCGCTAAAACAACAGTCGACCTGCAATCAGACGTTACGCTTTCTCAAGTGTTTCGCTACTCCCCCTCAAGCAAAACCATTACGCTGACACTTGACGAAATATGCGCTGCAGATGCATTGACCTCCATACCCTTTGAGTCGGATTCCACTTCTTCTTCGTCGTCAATATCCATCATCTCCATTTAAGTTTCGGATTTGGTAGAATTAACTCTCGCCACCATCGTCTACCAAATTTTGAGGTGTGTGGTGCTCAGTAAGTCAATAAATACCTCATTTCGGTGCCTGGGAGGTAGCCACTCGTCAGTTTTAATTGCTGGTGTCGTAATCAGACGCTCGTCTTTCAATTTCCAGGTCCTACAAGCCTTGCATATATTTGCATAATCTCAGAATATGTATGTGTGGACTTAGTGTCCCATTTCGTACGTTTGCCATCATGAAAACGAGTGTACCCTTTCGATCCAAAGACACTTAAGCAGTACAGGTCTGGTCTTGACCCGTGAAAAATTTTGAAAGTACAGCGCTTACGACGCATCATATCATGACAGCTTTCATACACTGAAAAAGCTCAATCCTGTCTTTTGTGTCAAGCATCATATACTTTTCTACATTGAGACCGTTTTTCTTAGCGACAGGTGCTTCTAGTCACCACTCACCAGAGCTTTGGATGGGCTTTCTGCCGTACTTTTATATTCGCTTGAGAACAATAGCATAACGTGTACATATACCACCCCCTGTTTAAGTTCCGACAAGCCTTAAGCACGTGTCTGCTCCGCCATTTTGATTTTTTCAGGATAGAGCAGCGCAGAATACTCGGATCCTGTCTCAGCTGTGGATAAAGCTTTGGTTGTAGATCTCTGCATCGCTTCGTTGAAGTAGTTTTGGTTTTCGTAAGGATTTATTCTCAATTAAATGAATCCGTTTTGTGCTTTCTCGTGAGTGTAAGTCGGTGTTGTCTTTGCTGTGAGTAGAAGGATGTCCGTAAGTTAGTGAGCAGAGACAAAGGCAGCACGTCGCTTCCTTTCAGTCGTCGTAAAAATTTCAATCTGAATATCAAACATCTCTGGCTTGCCCTTAATCGAACATATTAAAGGACTGAGCAGTATCTTCCAGAGTCCGGATGCTGAGCAACCTTATCAGAAATGGATCATTGAGCTGATTAACGGTTTAGTTTAGTGCGTTTGAGATAGATTGCAGAATTGAGCAAACGCTACTGTGCAGGCCTGAAAATGGATTCAAGAGAAATGATAGAATCTGCAACTTATGTGGAATCATATGTGACTGTCTTCGTCTTTATTGCCAATTGTACGGATGAGGTGTAAGAGCATGAAAAGTGACTTTGAATATCAATTTTTGTCATCTAGTAGCTCGTCAAAAAGAGAAAAGTTTTAACAAAATTTTAGATGCAATACATCAGCTAATCTGTCAGCGTGCTCAAATTGATCTATTCGACACCATCCGTTTGTCTAAATCGCTTTAAGATACCCATAAAAAACGCCTTGCGGTTCTTCACTCTGTCACTCACACAGCGATTGTACTCGTCAAGTGCTTTTTTTGCCGTCTCGTAATCAAACCATGACAAGAAATCAATCATACGATCATCCACGTCATCTTGCTGAAGTTTAAACTCCTGACCATCGATGTGTTTTTGAATCAGAGCCTTTGTCTTCTCTACTTGTACATTGCTCTGCTTTTTTCGTAACAAATCAATCTTGTTGCGACGATTCTCTGACTTGGTGCCACCGCCGCTAGCCGTCATCTCAACATTAATTCGACGTCCTAGTAGCAGCGTGTGGTGACGTGAGAGTGCAGCTCCCAAAGCTTTACTGTCTTTAACTTCAATAAAAGCCATTCCCTTGAACTTTTTTGTCTTCTTGTCTGTCAACATGCGCACTTGAATCTCGCCTGACTCAGCAAAATGCTTTCGAATCATCTCTTCAGTGGCTTTGAAAGGCAATTGACCCACAAATAGTGTTAAATGGATACTTTTGTGATTGTCAATGGATTTCGCCGTAGCTTCACGTCCATTCCTCTGCTTCTTTGCAGTCTTGCTGCTGTCCACTCCATTAGCTTTGCGCTTAGCTTTGTGTTTATGAACTTGGAGTTGCTGAGCATTCGAGCCCACGTCAGCACAAGAGCCTGTATCGGTGTCAATCTTGTCGATCATATTCGCTGCATCAGCTAATCCGTCATCATTTCTCTCGTGCTCTACGGGAATGTTTGGATCCTGCTTGACGCAATCCACTCGTTCTTGATCTTGTTTTTGCGTGGAAGAACTGTCATTGTTCGCATAATCAAAATCCTTCAAAAGTCGTTGCTGCTCTCGCAATAGCTTGCGGCGCTGCTTTGCGTTTAGTTTCCCGTCTATCGTTGTCATTTTTGATCCAGTCGACTACTTCTGACATTGTTGGCTTTTGATACATACAACAAAATAGTTTAACTGAAATAGTAAAACTATATATATCTTAAATAAAAACCATTCTCACGATAAGACCTTGTGGCGCAATGGATAGCGCATCTGACTTCTAATCAGGGGGTTGTGGGTTCGA